TGATCATAAAATCACCTATAAAGAATACCTCTTATGCAAACCGTGCTTTATGAGATTATGAAGCTACCAATTTTAAGACTGTGTTTTACATGAAATTAGGCGATGCCAGCTGGCGAGATGCTTTAAAAAAAGAACTCAAAATAGCATGGCTCACTTCAAATACTTGGTTGAGTGAAACACGCTACCCTAATGTCGCGCTTTGATAAGGTAACGCTACCCTAATGTCACGCTATAATAAGGTAACGCTAACCTAATGTCACGCTATAATAAAGTAACGCTACCCTATTGTCTCGCTATTATAAGGTAACACTTCGCTATAATAAGGTAACGCTACCCTAATATCACGCTATAATAAAGTAACGCTACCCTAATGTTTCGCTATAATAAGGTAACGCTACTCTAATGTCACGCTATAATAAGGTAACATTACACTAATTTCAATTTTTTTAGTTGTTGTATGGTTAGTTGCTGTGTGGGTCAGTTGTTGTGTGGGTCAGTTGTTATGTGGGTCAGTTGTTGTGTGGGTCAGTTGTTGTGTGGTTAGTTGTTGTGTGAGTCAGTTGTTGTGTGGGTTAGTTGTTGTGTGGGTTAGTTGTTGTGTGGTCAGTTGTTGTGTGGGTCAGTTGTTCTGTGGTTAGTTGTTCTATAGGTCAGTTGTTGTGTGGTTAGTTGTTGTGTGGGTCAGTTGTTGTGTGGTTAGTTGTTGTGTGGTTAGTTGTTGTGTGGTTAGTTGTTGTGTGGGTCAGTTGTTATGTGGCCTAGTTGTTTCGTGGGGTGTTTGTTTTGCTAGCTGTTTAATCGGTCGATTGTAATTTTCTTGTTGGTAAGTTAATTATTGTTTAATACGTTGTTAAGTTGGTTGGTTTGGTTTGCTTATCCCTAGCTCCTTTTTCTACTTTGATAGCTGCGAAAAAATTCGTCATTGAGATGTCCATGTCTTCGTTGTGGGAGCAATTGAAAGTTTCTTTGTCAGATACTTACATGGAGGACGGAACTTTTGAGATTACAACAATTAAATGAAGGAGTCATTAATTAAAGTCATTTTTCGTGATCGCTTTGATTACGTCGTCATCACGTTTGTTTTTCATCTCTTTGTCTTTGTATTGAACCTGTTTTTTTTTTCAAAAGTCTAGTGTCTGAAAACGGGAAATGTATTTTTTATGTACACTTTTAATTTATTCTCTTCCTTTTTTAATGCATCCGAATTAAAACGATTGTTCGTCTTGTGATTCAATCTAAATTCTTAGCATTCTTTTTCGAGTAAACATAACGAAATGTTTCAATAAATCTAAAATAAACTGCGTGATTGTCGATCGTGTCTTGAGTTCTTCTTGTTTTGACACTTGAAATAATATATCAAGCTGTTGTATGACGATGTTTTATATTGTYAGGTATCATGAGTTTTAACGATATGTAAACACTTATATTGCGTCGTTGCTATGGAAAGACRCAAGCTATTGTTTTTGAAACTCTGATTTAATGCCAAATTACAAAATCCGTTTGTTCATTATGGTCGCGAATTATCCATGTTATCCTTTTCCTAAATGTCATTCGCAGGTTTTTTATCGTATTCTTTCAATGTTGATGCGTGCCAGTTTATTTGTTGTTCAAACATGGCTTCTATGAATAAACCAACTAACATAGCATAGAACCTATTATTTTTCCCTTCTGATTTCGTTAATTTAGAGACACAATGAATTTAGTCTGATAGGATGTGTGTTATCATCATTGCAATCCCTTCCAGCAATAAAGGTTTTTATCTAAATTATCATCAAGTTTTTCTTGCTATCACTTTGTACTTGTATCTTAATTGATTATTTGAGAAATGTTATACATCTCATTCCTCAAAATATTGCTGAGAATCCATCAACCTACAACCCTTGTATTTAACCTAAAAACTACTGATCTTGAGCTGCTGTCTGACTAAACTACGCAGAGCGTTTGAAYTAGATTGTGAACGGCACGCCTTGACAGCTATCTCGGTTTACACTTAAAACCTTTTCCCAATGACTTCGGTCGGTATGACTGTCACAAAATCACTTTGTTGGAAAGTCAAATAAAATGTGATTCATCACTCCGAAATATYGCAARAAGAATTGTCGAGTGCAGAAACGCACTATTATTATTGGTTAAAATAATTTATGATAGATATTTCATTTTGCGTCCGGAAAGAAGATTACGGCGTACATCTACATGTATCAGTCACTACAACACGTCGATATTAGAAAACAATCATGCGTTGGAGCAGTTATCACTAGGATATGGATAAGTACAAGCGCTTGTAAATTATATTGGCTGTTAACCTTTATCAAAGCTATATAAAAATGTTTTAATTAAACCTATAAGAAGACTAAAATAAATAAATAGTCATATATTGCTGGTATATTTGTAATTTCTTATTTATTTCTATATCCTTTGAGATGACTTCATTAATTATTGAATGATTAGTTTTATTGAAGCTGCTGGCATAATGATATATCGGCCCATTTTACTAATACACAATAGCGGGTGGTTGGATATCACTCGCGGCCATGTCGCAGTTCGCTTTGGAAGTACCGCACTGAAAGCTACTATATCTCATTTCACACAGCACATAACGCCATCTTTGGTAAGTTTTCACGAAAATTCTGCACAAACTTCTACACATAAGGAAACTTTAAACTCTTTTARAAACTTCTCTAAATACTAGTGATAATGGTCTCATGTTGGTAACCATTGAATAGGAAGATCTTGCCGGGTAGCCTTAGCCCGTCAAGTCCAAGACAACACTACTTCATTCGCGATTCTATTCAAGTACTGCACTATGATTACCGTAGTTTCGAGGAGAGAAAAAGAGAGAATATGAAATCGTACCTTAKCCGTTTTTAATTTCATAATTACAGCCATTTTACTGAACAACACGGTTTCCAAAAGCGAGGAAATGTTCGTTATTAATGGCACTCATCTTGCMAGAAAAGAAGCAAGTTTTGAACATGTTTCCAATCTTGGTTGACGGTTGTTTTAACAAACAAAGCCGTTTTTTTACGTGACAGTCGCTGTTAAACTTATCTATGGACCGTAGATCAAGCTATATGTGCATAAGTTAAAATAGCAGACTGGGCGAAATTCGTCTTTTTCATCTTATAGAGAAATGTGAATTTTTAATTTGGGAAGAACTATTAATAATAGATGGCATGAATACATGRCAGGTTATACCGTCACTCTTTGGCATAACTTTATTTATACTCCACAAATCTACCATGATTTCATACACAGGAAAATCTTCTTTCTATTTTGAAGAGTTTTTTTTGTTAACTCCAATGAGGCAAAGTTGTCAAGTCTTCTGTTTTTTAAGCATCGAACTCAGACAGACATTATTTTATCGACTATGGCTGGAAACAGGTTTTCTTACATTTAGCTACATAACAACAGCAGAGTTTTAGCAAGTTCCTAAAGTACTACAAATATTTATCTTTATGTGGGCCAAGTCAACTTGACGACAATAGCGTGGGCCGGGTTTTTATCAAAAACGAAGTTTTGGTATTTTTTTAACTTAAACTGAGTTATCACGCATGGKAATTAGAAATCGCATCTTTTCTGAAGAGAACTGATCCGCAATTGATGGCCGGTCTGGACTGGGCATTGAGTACTTTGTGATCTTGTCTGTAGTCAGTGCGAATGGCCACATGACGGTAGACAGCATGCTATTACAGCGAAGCCCCTAGAGCTAGTATTACAATAGAATGTTTTAGATTTAGTTCTCTCGACTTTAGTTCTTGATTACTTTGTGTAGAAGAAATAAGGTTAAATTCAACCTCAAGGCAAAGCTCCAGGAAATGCATCTAAAACTGTTCTTGTCGTTGTCATGGAGATCATGTTCTTGATATTTTCTATTTAATGACATCTCCTTCATTCTTGAAAATGTCTCCTCAATCAGATGAATCACTAGAAGAACTTTGCCGGTTTACTGACCCCACAGTTGTGTGCCGTAGCAAGGAGAGGCTCTTAGGTGGAAATGTATTCGGAAGGAGCCCGTCTTGCTTTTTGCCAACCTTGCTACGGATCTGTCACGTACCCAGTACCCAGTCACCATATCGTAGTTAATTTGGAGTCACTGAGGACAACAACGGCATTTCAAATCAAAGCTCTTAGTTTTACAGCTTCTATGACATGACGATGATATGATTGGATGAAGTAAACCACTTTGATTAATTGATCATCTTTCGTTGTATCTTGGATTAGTTGATATTCACTTATTTTGTTTTAAAACAGATTTAGATGACTTAGGATATTTTGAGTTCCTTGRGCCACATAAACCCGAGCAGGTGTCAGGGAATTCAATAATACTTTTTTCTCCATTTGCACATTTCGTTGAAAAGGGCATTAAAAGGAATTACCCAGTTTGAACTACACTAACATCAACAATTTACTTGAAAAGATGGGGAGTRATACATACTTTCTTTTAAGAAAAACATTTGAGCACACATGACAGTTACACAGTATAAATTGATGTTTTGAAGAGTGTTAAGAGCAGCCGGATGACATAAAACATAACGCAACAGAAGTACATCAAACAACTCTGGCAGGAATAACAAACAATCGTCTATATTATACATATGAACTAACGGTGCTGTTCCTCGGGCCTGTGTTCTTGTAATGTATTTCTTGAGTCTACTGCGCATGCCACTATTGACAGTTAACTTGTCTTGTACTTCATATATTCCATTTTGCATGACAGTTCGAGCCTTATTCCTGCCTTTATTAGTTGACTTTTCGTTGTCAGTCTCCATGTACTTACACAGTCACCGTTAGGTCTCATCTGTTACCATGACAATCCAGTATTAAAGATGTTTTGATTGTCTTTCAGGAAAGATCTTCTTGACGCGCGAAAAGAAAAGGAAAAGATTATCACCTCATTTCTCGTTGTTTGAGACTTGGTTTATTTGGTAAGTGAATGGTAATATTACTAGCGTTGATCCTTTAAAGTAGAGTATGAAAACAATTAGAAGATGCTTTGGCTTGAGATGACTTTCTATCCTCCAGCCATGACATATGTTTTACTGGAATCAAGTCAGCGATAGATTAACATCTAACGAGTTATTGAATGTACTTTCCACTCAAAAGCGATTATTTATGTCAYGTGTCACAATAAGAAATGATCCAAAGAATAATAGATATAAAGCAAAAAAAAAAGCCAACCAGCGACGAAGGAACGTTGCCGACAGAAATTGGTATTCTGAACGTTGAGAGGAGTCAGTGCATGAGCAAAGGCTTATGGGTAGTTGGTGTACAGGGAGACGTGAAAACAGGGTTTGATCATCCAGGCCCGTCAGGCTTCACACTCAACTTCGTTTTCGGTTTGCATGGACAAAACAGCCAATGAATCGAAATTTCATGGGTGAGGTGCTCTCTTCTCGCATGTCGGCTTTACCCTCCCCTCCCCTACCTCCAATTCAGTGTTATCACTCGTTCGGTGATGACCTGCGATAGATCTAAATGTGTAAAAATATAAGATTTGATATACAACATACTCCATGTTTAACACACGAGAATTAAGCAATTTGGTTAAGGTTCTCCAATCCCTGGCGGCCGTGGAGAGTGCTGGTTCAATTCTGTTTTCTTTGCATAATTTCGTGTTTTTAACTTAGTGGCTGAATAAATAAGTAAATGACTACAATTAATTAAAGTCGCTCTAAGAGCGCATGTGGTTACTCCAAAACTCAACTGGTATGAAAGATAAATTGGAACATCATCCTCGGCTGGGATTATTGCAGTACACCAACATTGTACGTCTTTTGTTACATAAAGTGAAGACTAAATCTGTAAACTTGATGTTTACATCAACATTGTCTTTGGATACTAGTGAAAAATACATGTGTAAATTATAATATCACTCGTATTCCCAACTAAATAGTTGGGCTCAAATATCCACTTTCGTTTGTTGGTATTTGGTTTGGTTGTTGGTTGTTGGTTGTTGGTTGTTGGTTGTTGGTTGTTGGTTGTTGGTTGTTGGTTGTTGGTTGTTTGGGTCAAGCTACAGATCCTGTAATAACGCCATAAAGACGGGCCTAAAATCTCAAAAAAAAAAAACTCAAAAAGGCTTTCATTAAATCACAGTCGATACTGTTCAATGAAAGCTGCTATAGATAAAGTGCAAGAAAGGATACGAATAGGAGCCAGCGTTTCTTTGACCAGCGTCATCAGGTGTAGTTGTCATGGGAATGTATCACGTGATAGTGTTACTTACGTCTATAATATGAGTACAAGGAGTAGTAATGAGAAGTAGACTTCACATGAAATCCACAAGTGTGTTTAAAATAGACATGATAGTGAGTTTGATAGGAGATTGGGTTCTAACTTCGTGACGCTTGAACTAATCCATGGGAAATAGAAATAGTCTCACGGTGGCTGCCACATTTGAAGGCTGGTCAAGTACGGCCGGTTACTTCAACCCTTTAATCAGTCAATACACTACACAACATATGAAGCTTTTCCAATACAATAGTAGAAATAGATCAAGAAACCCATAACGGTGAGATGTATTAACACTAAAAAGTAAATAATCGAGCTGTGTGCGGTTTGTTTTCTTCCCCAACCCCCACGTAGACAGCTTAAATGAGGCAAATCCAAACCAATAGAAAACGTCGTTCAAACGAACAAATTGAAGAGTAAACTTGCTTTAACTTGAGTTCATGAGTTGTATTTAAGATGGAGCGACTTCTTCCTACAAGCGACGAAATTATTCGCTCAGCTTGCACGCTTCCATTTGGTAAGTTTTCCAGTATTGCATAGGTTATCGTTAAAAGCCGATTTTCAATACGATTATTTTCGTACAATTTTCACATTCAATCTACGTCACACTAAGTCAGTCTGATCCATACAGGCGCCTATATATAGACCTGTGTCAGCTCGCCAAGCTTGATAAACAAACCATTAAAAGTATTTTAATGCTTGAATAATGCAGAGTTTTAAAGGAAAATTAAAAACAATGTACGAAACCATGTGCTTCTCTCTGTCACCTTTATTCCTATCCCCTAATAATCTACATTACGTCACAAGATATTACAATATGAGTTCCTTCAATATTTCCGGTCTCTTTTCCTGGCTAACGTTTTTTATCGATGTCATCAGTCATTTTTTTTTTTTCTTCGCCCAGTCTCCAACAGTCACCCTCTTTAGGCACTGCAATAACATTTTTTTATTTTAATTTCCTGCGATTGTCATATATATCAAGTTAAAATTGAATCCCTTTTCTTGTCGTAAAACAGTCTTATTATTAAACGAGACTGCATGTTCCGATGCTATGGCTACGACTCGTGACGCCGATGGCCTAGATGACACGGCCATGAGATACCTGTAGGCATATATCGGCCAGAAAATCAAAGTAGTTCATCCACTCCACACATTTGTCAAAAACACACACATGTCTCAGTGATGTGAAATTGCGTCCAATATAGATCGGAATGTCTCTGAAAAGGGTTACTGGTTGCCGCTGACAACTCAAGCCTGATGGCTCTACGACATCATATCGGTGTTGTCTTGAAGGAATTTCTCTCTCAGATCTTCATTTGAAATAACTCCACTATTTTTAAACGCTGGACAAACTGAATAACAGGAATAAGGACCTGGGATGGCGTGATGCAAACTTACGTCACTGACACAAAGCCAAGTCTAGAATATTCTGTCTCCAATAGCAACTAAAGTACCACACCCATATATGTTGATGGAACAATGATGCTATGAGGAAACAGAATCTTTTGGATGAACGTTCCCTGAAGTGAACCACATTGAAAAAACAGCTAGGAATGGATAGACAGCAAATCAGACGAATGATGATGGACAAGACAAACCGTGTCTATTAGAACACACCCTTAAGGGGTTAACCCCAGAACAAGGAAAATGATGATGAGTTTTTTTTCTGGGGAACATTTCTACAACAATCTCAATGCTGTCAATGAATAACAGTGGTGTTTATCATGTCTTTTCTCATTGCTTCCCTGTCAAGGCGCTCTATAATTATCCAACAATAGCAGTCGATCTCTCGGGCTCTTGTTAGTGTGCTCAGGTAGACAGGCAAGACTACAAACAGACTGGCTCGAGATTTCCCCTTTCAGATTGAAATAAGAAACATGATAAGAGAACAATCAAGGTCAAACTACATCAGCACTGCATAACACAATGTGGAAGTAGTCGTGTTGCACTATCTCCTACAGACTGCCGAGTCAAAGCAATACAAATAAAGTGACAATGAATTAATAAAAGAAATGCCTTTAAAATAAGGTCTTAATCGCTCCAGCAAGACAGCGAGGGTCCTGTTTATTAGTGAGTTGACTCTCATGCAGAGTACGCTGTTTCACCATGCCTGTCGTCACAGCCAGGAAAACCAGCATACCATGCCTGTCACAGCCAGGAAAACCAACGTACCATGCCTGTCACAGCCAGGAAAACCAACATACCATGCCTGTCACAGCTAGGAAAACCAACATACCATGCCTGTCACAGCTAGGAAAACCAACATACCATGCCTGTCACAGC